GGTATAAACCATAGAATCCTAGGATAGTTTGGATTGGAAGGGACCTTAAAACTCATCAAGTTCCACCCCCTGCCGTGGGCAGGCACACCTTTCACTACCCCAGGTTGCTCCAAGCCCTATCCAGCCTGGCTGTGGACACTTCCAGGGGTAGGACAGCCACATGATTTTACATTCCCTGTGAGGTGTGGTACAAGAATGAGCTGTTGCATGAGCGGGCATTTGCAGACCACAAAGGAATTTTAATTTCTGACAAGCCCTATTGTTCTGAAATCAGTTGTGCAGCAAGACACAAGGGAAACGTGCCAGTTCCAGTGGCTTTAGCCACTTCAAGGACAGTGAAGAGGGGAACTGGTTTGCTCTATTCATACTGCAGTTTTTTCTCTGCATGTATCTGCACCTCCAGAGTGGTGGATCAGCTGCAAGCAGGTCTGGAGGCGAATTAGAAGTGTCTCCCATACTGAGAGCTAAATAGAAGTAGCATTTGTAACTATGGGCTGGTGCAGAAGCTATGCTGTGTTCATATATGCTATACTTTCCTATAGGCTGCTGGCTTTCTGTTCTGGGTTTGGTGAATACCAGGATTTTGTTCCAGGTTTGGGTCCTTCAGAGAACTGAAACACCTGGGAGAGGCTAGAGTGGCTTTTTCAGACTTTTTATGGTCTGTTTCAAATAGAAGTATGGAAGAACTTGCTGTGTTTGGTTTGTGAGATGAATAAAGTGTCCATGTACTACTGTGGAGGCATGTATAAACAAAGGGCCTTGTCCCATGTCCAACACTCACTATCCCTGGAGGTGCTCAAGGAGCAATGGATGTGGCACTCTGCTCTGGTTGACAAGGTTGGACTCAGTGATCCTGGAGATCTTTTCCAACCCCAGAGATTCTTTGCTAGAGTGGTAACAATGCAGAGTTTGCAGTCCCACTCCTAGGTTCTGCACAGCATGTCTGTGAGTACTTTTAAGGTTGACTTTTGCCCAGGTGTTGGAGAAAGCCACTCACCTTCCCCATGGCGCAGCCCCGGAGGATGCAGCTCCCTTCCCTTTCCAGTTCCTGTCTGGTAACCTTATATTACTGTGCCACCCACAGGCAGCTACTGAGCTGCTGGAAAACATTTGCAGTTTGCATAGGGAGCCACTTATCAAATGTTAAATCTGTGACAAAAAGCCACTGGTTTCATTGACTGTAATATGAACTGTATTGAGGTTTTGAATCCTGGTTATTCCAATTTTCTATTTAAACTGCAGATAGAGTTCTTATGCTAATGTCTGATTTTTCCACTTCTTCCACAAAACTCATTCCTTGTGCTGTGCTCCTGCTCAAAGCCATTGCTTCCCAACAAGTGCAAAAATGCTTGTAGTGTTGGGATCCTTGGAAAGAGAGGGAAACTGCTGGGCTGTTAATTAGTGGTGCACCACTTTTTGGCATGTTGCCACATTAGGCTGCAGAACAACTGGGTTTAATCTGTGCAGTTTTACTGAGGAGGAATATTCTGATTTCCCTCCAGCTGACCTCTCCACTGCTCAGTGTGTGATGAGTGCAGAACAAACTGGGTCAGCCGAGGCTGCTCAGAGGATTTTGAAACCAGCATTTGTAGTTCCAGCAAGTTGTAGAAACCAGCAAATGATGTTCAAACCATATGAGCAAAGGACACGAGCAAACCAAGACTTCTGGGTGGATCTGATTTGTTTTTAGATGGAGTCAGAAAAATATATGAGCTTTTTGGCATCCACTGACTGGAAAAGGGGCTTGTGCATCTCTTCCCCTTTGTACCACTCTATTCAGCAAGAGGTTAATTATACCTGTACACCTTGTCTTGTAATCTTACTAGGGCATTTGGCATGGTTGATCTATTCAGATTTTTTAAGAATTTCCCTTGTAATACTTAAACTCCAGTTGTGCACCCGTGCTGTAATCTGTCCTTTGGGAGAATACTTTGGTGCTGTTGAGGTATTCTGCTTTGTAGAACAGAATTTTAATATTGTTTACCATGCTCTTAATCTCACTGCTGGCAGATAAAATGAGTTTCTTTAGCCCTCCCCCTGAGGACGTGATGGAGCTTCATGGCCAACAGACCCATTGCATTAGGTGGAGTTATCTCAGCTTTGCAAAAATCCGCTCATCTGTCTTCCTGGAAGGAGTAATTATTGGTGAGAGAATAAAATGTTGATTTATTTTTGAAATTGCATTTATAAAAAGGAGCAGGCAGCCAGATCCATGGGCTAGTTGGGGAGGGGTCGTAAGTCTGGCCCTTGAGAAACATTGTCAGCAGGGGACAATCCTGATGGCTTGGATCAACCATTTGAGTGGAGTTTGGCAAATCAGGGAGGAAGACTCGGGAAGTTCTCAGAGTGAGAGCTCAGGCTGCTCTGTGCCCGGCTTCCATCTCCATGCTGGCCTTATTCCTGGTGTTGACTTTTTCTTGTTATGAAGGTGAGCTGTCGGGGCAGCATCAGCCCTTTGCTGGGCTCTCGTCATCTGCCCCAGTGGGAACCTTCTGGGTGCTGCTGCAGAAATGTAGTTTTTAAAGTAGTGTAAAGCAGAGGGCTGAAGTGGCAGAATGAACAATAATCTAATATTTGTTTATTGGCTGTTACTACCACCATATTAGGTCAAAATGAATAATCACCTGGGAGTTGTCAGGTGAGCTTGTTTCATTTCATGGGTCATGGTCTGTATTAATGCAGGACCATGTTCCTCAAGCTATGGGTGTGTGTTAACCCTTCCCTTTCCCTCCAACTGGTGGATATAGTTCCAAACAGTTATAAGAGCATCCTTTCTCTCCCCCACATGCATTTTTTTCCAAGACAACCTTGGGTTTTGTGTCTCATTACAGTAAAAGCCCTGTAGTAGCTGCCCAGCTGCTGTCGCGTCCCTCTCTGGAATGGTGATTTAGAGCTGAGCCAGCATGGAAACTGCGTTTCCATGCCTCAGGCAAGCCTGTTGGCAGCCTGTGGAGAAGTAATGTGCCACTTCTGCTTGGAAGAGTTGTCAGTTTTCTAGTTTAGTTGGGAAAAACAGCCAACATTGGCTTAGGTTTTAGCTGGACTTTTGGAAGCAAGTTGTAGTCTTTTGAAGGAAGCTGTTCATGTTACTGGAGATGAGCACTGAGGACAGAAGGGTCCAGCTAATGAGCTTCATTCTGAAGGAATGGTTAATATTCCAGAGGTCTGGGTAAGGATTGCTGAAAATGAGACTGTGAGGAAAGGGGGAAGCTGCAAAGGGATATTCAGTGAAGCTCATGGATGCGGACTGCCCAAGGCTGGAACAAACAGCAGCACCTTGATGTGCAGCCTCGTGGTGGTTTGAGCTGGGGCTGCCAAGGTCCTGTCATTCCCAGACCACTCCTCTGGACATGCTTGGCGTGCATCAGGGTCAGCTTTGACCGTTCCCAGAGCCGCTGGATCGGGGCTGGTGCATGGAATGGGTAGGAGGGCATGGGAAGAGGTCCCAAGTCTGGAATTGGGCTGGTTTCTGTTGCTGGGGGAGAATGTGAGCACATGGGCAGAGCTGGGAAAGACAAAATTCCCTGTGCAGCAGGGAGTGTGTTACGGCTGAAGAAATAGGGTACAAAACACTCCAGCATTGCTGTGAAACAGTCCTTTTCTATTGTGTGTGAATTAGCTGCCTAGCTGGAAAGAAGCCATCGCTTTACTGCAGGAGTTCAGAGCCGGGTCAATGGAACAGGAATATATTCCTAGAGCGGTACAAAGAGCTGGGGAAAAAGCTGTAAGGTGTTTGAAGTCTGGAGGCAGACAAAGGCCGTGGTTCTGCTGCTGTGGTGGCTAAGAGTGCCAGAGGGGAGAGTCCTGAGCGCTGAAAGTTGCTGAGCTGTGCCAGCAGCAGGGCTCTTGGAAACAGGAATTTCATACAGCTCTCAGGCCCAGGGCATGTAGGGCACTCAGAGGACTTCACTATTCAGAGGAGCTGTGGCATGTCATGCTAGAGGAAATGAAAAAGCCATGTTTTCTCAGAAGTAGGTATCTGGGAAACCTGTGACAGTAGGGGATAAAAGCAAATTTCTGTTCTGTGGAGTGGGTTATTTCAAATATTTTTCCAGAATACAGCTTTCCAATTAGCCACTCGCAGTTAACGCTGGCAGCAGGATCTCTACTGCTTAATCCATTTCTTTGGTGAGAAGTACCTGTTCCTTAGTGCAGGCAGAGCTGCGTGCTCCTGCTTTGGCAGCCTGTGGCAGTGCTGCAGGAGCGCGGACTTTGCTCCTTCTGCCACCCTGACATCACTTTTTTTCCCCCAATGTGCTTTTTATGCTTGTTCTGTTAATAACCAGATATCGTGGATTTAGTGTTCTGCTCAGATCCTCCCGGCACAGACTGAGGTGCTTCCAGCTGTGCCATCAGGCAGTGACAGATGTCTCCGGTGTGCACAGCGAGTGTGCAGCAGTGACGGCTGCCAGGATTGGTATTCCAGGCACAAATGTGCCCCTTGTAGTGCAGAGCTCAGAACAGCCTGTGCAGCAATGCCCTTGAAAGGCAAATTAAACCCAGCTCCCCGGGAGCAGTGGAACACTGCTGTCATTTGTGCTGAGGTTCCAGTAGGCCTTGAGGTGGCAGTTTCAGTTTCCCTTCTGCTTTTCCTTCCCAGAAGGGCGTGCTTGAAAGGGCAGGCAAGGATGGTGGTGGGTCTTCTGTCTTCAGTGGGGGAGCATTCCCTGGCAGGAGATTGGAGCAGATGATGGTCAGGCTCTGCACCTAGGGAGTAAGGGACAGGATAAGAGAAAACAGCCTGAAGTTGTGTCAGGGAGGTTGGATATCAGGGAAAATTTCTTCACCAAAAGGGTTGTCAAGCCGTGGCACAGGCTGCTCAGAGCAGTGTTGGAGTCACCATTCCTGGAAGCGATCAAAAACATGTGGGTGTGGCGCTTGAAGATGCGGGTTAGTGGTTGTCTTGGCAGTGCTGGGTTAATGGTTGGACTCAATCATCTTAGCGGGCTTTTCCAGCCTAAATGAATCTGTTCATTCATTCCAGTTCTTGCAAATTGTGTCCTACGTGCAGCATGTGAATGCACCAAACCATGCATCCAAATGTGTGTGAAAACTGTATTTTAACAGTGCTAATGGATTATACTGTAGGGATTGAAGGTGTTTCCTGAGCACTTGTGTCTGCCTCTGAAATCAAAACCTTCTGATGTTCTTGATCCACCCGTTTGCCCAGAAGCTTGTACAGATATTTGTTCTCTCTTCTAAGCTGTTTAAAACTGTGATCCCCAATTATGTTTTGAGGGTTTAATTGCTCTGTTGAGGTGTTTCCCCCTTCCATTCCAAGAACATCACTGCGCTGGAATTTGAGCTGCATCAGAGAGAAGTAGCCTGGAGCATAGTTGTCTGATCCAAGGAAGCATTTTCCCCCACACAGCTGAGCAAAGCAAAGCTGAAAAGCCCCACTGGCAGAGCTTCCATGGATGGTGTGGTGTGGTTGTCTCTGCTGACACTGCAGCCCTGGGATGCTCCAGTGCTCTTGACCAAGCTGAGCACGTGCTGCGCAGTCAGCAGGTTGTCACATGAAGATGACAAGCTCATATGATGTTAAACTAAAGCCACCAAACTACGCTTTGCTGCTGGGACCAAAGGTGATGAGTTGGCCTGGGCTTCATGAGGAAAAGGTTAGGCTGAAGTGGGCCGTGGATAAAGGCTGGCTTTGACTCCTTGGCACTGGAACAACCTTATTTTGTAGTTCTTCCCCAGTCACCCCATGCTGTTCCTGCTGACATGTCCAGTTGTGGTTGTCTAAGTTTGAACTGCAAGATTTTGAAGACAGAACCTCCCTTTTTCTAAAATGTTGAGCCTGTTTTTACTGTGCTACAAAATCTGTCAAAATCAAGACACATCATGATTTCCCCAAACTTATTTCCCCTGGCATCTCATTTCAGAACTTTCTCCAGAAAAAAAACCCTGGCTTTTCTGCTAAAATCTTGGTTCCTTTTTTTTTTTATCTCCCCCACCTCCCCAGTATGTGCCTTGATGTTGTGTGACATCTGAAATACTTCCTGTGCACGTGCTGTGCTGCCTTTGCTAGATAAGCAGTAGGCTGTTCCCTTTTACAGCAGGCACATCCCTTCCTGAAGAGGCAGATGTTTTCCCTGGGAACAAATATTGCAGCTTTTTAATTATGTCACCTTAATTTTGTTTCTCTTTTCTTCCATCACAGCATGTGTGTGATTAGAAGCTTCTGATGCCTTCAAAGAGGGATGGCAATGTCACTCTTCCAAGCTGGGGCAGGATTTCTGCTCTAGGTTCCCTCCATGCTGGTTTTGTGTAGGATGAGTAGGTTTTCTGTAGACCTGATAGAGAAATAAAACTAAATCTGAGCTTTGTTCACACTTGGAATTTTAATTTGTGTGTTGACTTTGTTTCCTGTTTTTGTAGGAATTTCTCTGGACGCTAGAGTACAAGAGGAATGGAAGAGAATGCCGGTGAGTACAGACTCAGATATCTTACCACAGATTATGGACCTGACCTGTCCTCCTTGGTTAAGCATCATAAAGAACCTGATTACTTTAAGCTTGGTGTCTTCATTTGCAGTGTAGAAGGTGATTAGAAAATAATGTAGTTTGGCAGATGCATCAGCTGCATTTGTACTGTGGTGTGGACCAGATCTGACTGAAGCTCTGTAAATATGGAAGATCTTTTTTGGAATCTCCCATCTGTGAAACCTGGAATACTGGTCTCTTGGCTATCCCAAGTTCTTGAAAACAGGTAACATCCCCTTTCTTAGTAAGGAAGAGGCTAGAAGGAATGAGCTGATTTGAACAAGGCACATGGTGAGGCATAAAGAAAGATCAGCTTCTGGTTGTTCCTGTTCCGTATTTATTCCTTTAGGCTGCTCTGTGTTGCATAAGATAGAGGATTTAAAAATTTTTTTTAAATTAAAATTTAAATCTCTTGCCTTAGGCAGTGTGTAATGATTGCCCTGAAGCAATCAAATTCATTGCTGGTAGGTTTAACTGATGCAAGGATACGGTTGTAACTAAAACTCACAGATTTTTTTGTGTAGAGATTGCCTTGAAAAGCTCTTCCATCTGTTTGCCTAAAATGGCTACAAGAAAGAAGTTAAATGCCAATTGCCCTGCCATTGCTCTGAGATTTGCATGAAAACTCTTGCTTGCACCATGGGAAACCAGTATCCACATAGCATATTGGCCTCACGTCTTCTGGACTGTGATACTGCAGTTGATGATTCTAACTCGTAAATAATATTTCTGGGTTATTCTGTGCAGCCAGGTGATGCCATCCTGAAAACTTTGGGAATGGTTGTACTTGTCAGCAGGGCAGTATGCTGGGTGAGGCAGATGAAGGCCAGTTTATGACTTCATACAGAGCTGGTGTGTTGGAGCCCAGGGGCCTGGTTAGATCATCTGCAAGCCAAGAGCTCCTCCTTAAAAGTGTAACATGCTTGTAGTCCTGGTGGCAAGAACTGCTGTGCCCCCTCTTTAAGCTGTAAGGTGCACATTTAATCTGTGGTGATTGCTTTCCCTTCTGATTTGCTTGTGGCAAACTAATTCCAAAAGATGACTTGTGGAGGAGGTGGAAGGTGAAGTGAGTGTGGCACGGGCAGCGAGGCTGGAGCAGTGCCTGTGGAGGTGGCAGCTCCTCATCAGCCCTGGCACAGAGCATGGCAGAGCAGGGCCCCTTTTCAGTCTCGGTAACTTCAGTTACTGGGATGGTGTTGAGCAACATCAAGGCCAGGTTGGATGAGGCTCTGAGCAGCCTGGTCCAGTGGAAGGTGTCCCTGCCACAGCACGGGGTGAAACAAGATATTCAAGGTCCCTCTCATCCCCAGCCATTCTGTGGTCAGTGAGCTCTCCACATTCACCAGGACTCAGCCTGTGCTGGGACTGCCACCAGCCACCTCTCTTCACATCACAAAGCTTTTGTGTCCCTTTTCACGTGCAGTTGAACCCCATTCTTTGGCTAGATCAGTGAGACACAGAGCTGGAGCCTTTTGAGGTTTTGGGAGTGCTGAGTTCTGATGAGTGCTGGTGGCCTGGGATGTGAAAAGCCGTATGTTCTGTTTGCATTTTGCCAACTTTACTTAAGTTACTTCACCTTTCCCTCTGGACAACTTGAGCAGTGCCAGTTTAGGATGGAGGATCCGTGCTGGATCTTTGTATGCACAGACACTCCCGATGGCTGGTCACAAAGCTTTACCTCCTTAGTGCTGGAAGCCAAGAGCCCTCTATTAAAGACAGAATAAATAGATGGATCTTTTATTTTAATTTCCTTGAAATTCCTTTGATTTATGGATATTCATTCTCCGAGTGCTAAGCTCAGGACTACTGGGTTGATCCCAGAGGTGAGGTAAGATGGAGCTGAGCTGAAGTCCAAGTCAGTGCCCTTTGTTCCCTGCAAGCCTGGTGCTTTGTATGCATTGCTGTCCTTCCCTGGTTGGATATTAACTGCACTCACAATGCTGCATGGTTGGTGCTTGTTTGAACTGGTGCTCTTGGAATGGCCATTGGGAATGCACAGGGAAGCGTAAATCCTTTTGAGCTGTCAGCCTTCACCAGCCATGGCTGGGTGGGGGAGCCTTCCTTGGCTGACTGCCCTGGCTAATTAGAAATGAAATTTGCTGTTGTCTTCAGATTTTAATTCATGCTCATCCCTGAGGACGAGTGGAAGCCAGGTCTCCAGGCAGCTGCAGTGAAGTTTCAGAGCTGTCCATACATGGTATTCTAGAACAGGTACGCAGCTTAAAATTTGCTCACAGTCCTGCCTTGAATTAGGTATAGAGAAGAATACGCAGAAACTTCTGGCAAACTTTGGGACATGGCCGTGAGTGACGGTAGGTTAAGCTGCCACATGTGGCCTTAAACTGAAGGAGGATGGGTTTGGATTGGATATTAGGAAGAAATGCTTCTCTGTGAAGGTGGTGAGGGACTGAAATGGATTTCTCAGAAAAGCTGTGGCTGCCCCATCACTGGAAGTATTTCGGGCCAGTTTGGATGGGGCTTGGAGCAATCTGGTTTAGTGGAAGGCGTCCCTGCCCATGGCATAGGGTGGAATTGGATGAACTTTGAGGTCCTTTCCAACCCAAACCATTCTGGGATTCTATGATTTTACATCAGTTCTCTGCAGTAAATTTGGAGGGGTGTGTTGTAGCCAGGACAGCATCACATGCCTTTGTTTGTCACTAATGCTGGACTTAAAACTGAATTCCTTCCCTGTAGGCTGTGCCTGTGTCACTGGCATTTGATTCAGGAATGTGCAGACTGCTGAGGTTACAGTGGCACGGATTTGGCAGAGGTTCTGAAGTGGGGAGCCTGCAGAGTTCTGTGAGGAGATGAGAGGTGGTGCAGGTGCTGCAGCAGCACCAGCCCTGCTGGTCCCACTGGAGGGACAGTGCTGCCCTGGAGAGGCCAGTGCTGCCGGTGGGAGGATGGAGATTAAGGAAGGGAACAAATGAAATCTAAATATACACATGCTGCCAGTCCAGGCTTCCTCAAGGTTCCACCTACACAAGTGATCTGTTGAAGGGAAATGTCTGTGGAATACCTTTCCCTTCTTCAGATCCTTCCTGTGGTGCAGGTCAAGAATCACACTCTGTTTTTGGAGCCTGTTTTTACTGTTCATCTACTGCCTGTCACTACCCAGGCTCCCTCCCAAAGACCACTCACTCACCGTACCATGATCTGAGCTAGGTTTGGAGCTTTTTCTTTGTCAAAGGATTGTGTACTGTCTAGTATTTCATCTGTCTATATGTCTCGGAGATCTAAAAAGCAACATATTGGAGTAGAAACTTTGTGCTTGGCAGGGGAAGTCTCCCCTTATTGCTCATGGTTCCTTGAAAGCTCTGCTGCCATGTTGGATCAGCCTCAGGTGGAAGCAGACCTGCAGTTCACTTGCCCAGTAATGAGCAATCATTAATGAACAGGTTCAGAGGGAGCATGGAATGCATTTTTGTGGAAGGTGTTTGCTGTTGGATCCTTTGACCTCCTGTACTGCACACTCTGTTGACAGTTTCTGCCTATGCTTGCACACTTCTTCTGCAGGTATTCAGATAGGAACTTTTAAGTCCCTAAAAGGTCTAAATCTCTGTGAGACCCCTGTGAAACATTTGAGGAAATTAATGAAGTAGCCTTTGCACACACAGGTTGTTAGCCAAAGCTGCTTTTTAAGAGAGCTCCTGAATTACTAAGTGTATGGATGCTTTAAGAATCTTCTGCAGCTACTGCTTTATTCCATGCTGACTTTCATCCTCTTTGACTTTCATCCTCTTTATCTCCTGCTGTGCTACTTTTCTCCCAATTTTTTTCCTCCTAAAAATAGGAAATATTCTTCAAGTCCTTCGCCTTTGTGCAAACAAAGAAGTAATTTGTTTTAGCATCTAAGCTGATGCCTGAGTTACATGCCTCAGAAACCAGTGTGATATGGATCTGCTGCTTCTGGAGACTTGGACTCCAGATATAGTCTGAGTAGAGGAAAGAGCTGAAAACATGAATACTTGGTTCTTATCCCACCAGCTCTGCTGCTTTTTCCCATCAGGATGCATGGCTGGCTGCCTGATTCCCATCTTTATCCCCAAAAATCAGAGCTATAGCTTCAGATGCTCAGAGATTCTGAACCATTATGGGAACGCCATTATGGAATCACTGAATAGTTTGGGTTGGGAGGACCATGGGCACACACCTTCCACTAGACCAGGTTTCTTCATGGCCTGTCCAGCCTGGCCTTGGACACTTGCAGGGATGAGGCAGCCACAGCTGCTCTGAGCAACCTGTGCCAGGGCTCTCCACCCTCTCAGTGAAGAGTTGCTTCCAAATATCCCATCTATCCATGCCTTCTGGCAGTGGGAAGCCATTCCCCTTGTCCTGCCACTCCAGGCTCTTGTCCCCGTGCCTCTCCAGCTCTCCTGGAGTCCCTTTAGGCTCTGGAAGGGGCTCTGAGGTCTCGGTTTAAGCCGGACTGGTGGAGCTGGCAGTCAGTGCCAGCAGCGTGTGCTGGGTTTGTCAGGCCATTGCAGGCTTGGGAGCTTTGCTGCCACCAAGTCAGGCCTGCTGGAGAAGAGCAGTCGCTGCTGAGCAGCCAGTGGAAATCTCTCCATAATGTCTGTTCCAGAACAGAAGAATGGGGTTCTCTTCCAGGAAGACACAGAAGCTGTGATTCCACTGGGATGTGGCATGCTGTGTGTGCAGCAGTAACAGCTCTGTGTGATACAGCAGAAGAACCAGTGCCCAAAGTGCCTGAGATCAAATCTGTTACAGTTGATGTGCACTAACTTGCAAGCAGGTAGAAAGGCAAATTCTTACTGTTCTTTAGGCAGGTTACCAGAGGCCAGAATTGATCTCAGTGGAAAGCATTTGTCTTTTAAACAAGGTGCAGCACAGAGCATTTCCATACCTAGCTGAAAGCATTACTGGAAATAAGTCGAGTGCACTTGACAGCTTAGCAAAATACTTTGAGACATTATCCTGGC